CAGCCCCTGCGAGACCTGCCTCTCCCTCCCTTGCGGCTCCCTGACCCCGGGGAGCGAGTGTCCAGGTGCACTGTGACCTCCAATGCCAGAGGCCTGCTTAGGGCACAGCCTGGCAGGTTCCAGAAAGACTTTGGAGAAGGAGACCTGGTCTCAGGCCTCCCCTGGCCTGGCCCGCCCAGCTTAGGCAGACAGCACCCCCACCCCCCGGGCCAGGAACTTGCTCCCAGTTCCATCATCACACAGAGACAGTCCGTCCTTCCTGAGGAGCAGAGTTCAGAGCAAAACCAGAGCCCGGCGCAACCTACTCCCAGCCCGTCTTTCAAACCCCCGAGGATTGAGCACTGGGCGCCCGCCAGTGACCTCCGTGTGCCCCTGGGGTTGGGTTTCTAGTGTCTCCAAAGAGAGAGGAGGAACCGGAGGAGGGAGATGGACGGGAGGAAGGAAAAAGGAAGGAAGTTAGGAAGTTAGTTCGATGTCCGAGGGTTGGGGGCTGAGTTCAGAGCAGGAGGCAATCATGGAGAACTTCCTGGAAGTGGCAGCACATGTGGAGTACATTCTGCACAGAGAAGGATGGGAGGGAGCCGAGGGCGAGGAGGCTGACACTGGAGGCTCTCAGGGCTGTGGGAAGGCCCTGAGGAGGGCGGAGAACTGGCAATGGCCAGCTGGCCAGGAGGGTTCCCCTTCAGGCTGGGTCCACTCTCTGCAGGAGGGTGTCAGGGGTTGGGGAGCTTTGTGACGTGGAGCGGGCCTGTCACTCGCACCCCCTTTCCAAATGTGTTCCCGTGAGGCATCGCCAGGTCTGCTGCCCAGAAGTGCCCCCCCTTCCAGCGCCGTGCCCGCGCCATCTGCCCCCACCCAGCCCACCCACCGCCTCTGCAGCAGCCACGGTGCCAGCTGGAGCCTGAGCGGGAGCAGAGAGGACAGCGGGCCCGAGAGAGAGTCTAACGCGGTCAGTTTGGGAATGTCTCTTATTTTCAGGGTGAAGGTGGCCCGCCCTCCAGCCTGTGGCACGGTCCCATCACTCACTGCCTGTTGGGAGCCATCAGAGTTGATACAAGCAACTCCATCTTAGAAAATACAACTCCATCTTGGGAGTTAAGTTTCCAACTCCTCTTCCAACTCACAGTCCCCTGCGGTTTGGCCAGAAGCTAAACATAACCTATCGCTAATGGCACACCCTGCTCCGGAAGATCCCTACAACGCCCCCTCCCTGATCCTCCCAGTTTGCCCCGCCTTGGAATGTCCCCGCGGCAACCGCCCCCTACAGCCTGTGTATATCTATTGCAGCTTCAACAATAAAATTCGAGGCTTGATCAGAACCTGTCTTGCCTCCATTTCTTCGCGTCTCCTGTCCTCTATCATTCCCTTCTCTGTGCCTCCTCGCCCCCATGTTGATCTCCCGCTGGTCGGGCCAACTGCCCACTCAGAGACAACTCCGGGGTCTCAGGCTGCACGTCCACGAATGGGAGGCCAGGGCCCATCCGTCGGCTTAGGGGGGACAGGACGGGACGGGCTGCTGGGGCGCCAGGGGGGCCTGGCGGGAGGGCCTGCTGGCTGGAGGGAGCAGCCCTCCCCGGCAGCCCCTCGCCCGTCTGCTCCAATTCCCGCTGACGGTGTCCATGCCCCCAGCAGGGCCAATTAGGAGAGACAGGGAGGCAAAACGTTTGGCCCCAGGGCACGGGCAGGTGGGAGGGTCAACCGGACAATTCAATTCCCGGCAGACAAATGTGATTACGGCGGCCGCCCGGGCCCGGCCCGCCCCCCTCTTCCCCCCCCAGGACCGGGACATAAAGGGCCCGGTGGGCGGCCGGGCCCCAGCCATGCAGCTCCCCCGCCCCAGCGCGCGCGAGGCCGCCTCCATGTACGGCACGGCGGTGGCCGTGTTCCTGGTCATCCTGGTGGCCGCGCTGCAGGGCTCGGCGCCCCCCGAGAGCCCCTTCCCCTACCGCATCCCCCTGGACCCCGAGGGCACCCTGGAGCTGGCCTGGAATGTCAGCTACGCCCAGGAGACCGTGCACTTCCAGCTGCTGGTGCGCGAGCTGCGGGCCGGCGTCCTGTTCGGCATGTCGGACCGCGGCGAGATGGAGAACGCCGACCTGACCGTGCTCTGGACCGACGGGGACAGCGCCTACTTCGCCGTGAGTGTCTCCCCCACCCAGCCCCTGCCCCTGCCCTGCCCTGCCCTGCCCTAGCCCCTGCCCCTGCCCCTGCCCCTGCCCTGCCCCAGCCCCTGCCCCTGCCCCTGCCCCTGCCCCAGCCCCTGCCCCTGCCCCTGCCCCTGCCCCAGCCCCTGCCCCTGCCCCTGCCCGGCCGCCGCCAGCCTCCCTCCCGCACGCCGCCTCCTCCACCTGCTCCCGAGCTCGCCGGTTTGCAGGGAGAGTGGGCCCTGGCTGCATCCCAAGCGGCAGGACGCCCACCAGAGCACAGACCCCACCCCTCCACTCGCACAAGCGGCGTCCGGCACCCACACCTCGCCCGTGGCCGGGCGCAGGGCCGCGTGCACCGGCCGGGACGGGTGCCGGCCGGGCCGGGTTTGCAGGGCAGGTCCACGGAGCGGGCGCGGCCCCACGGGCGCAGCCTTGGAGAAGCGGCGTTCTTGCTGGAGAGAGTGGGGGAGGGGGAGGTTTCCTTTCAAACTGGAGCAACGTGGGGGTGGGGGGCAGCCCCTGTCCTGAGCCCCCCTCTGCCCCCTCCCCAGCCGGCTGCCGCCAGGGTCTCGGCACAAGCCCCTCTCCCCAGACGCAGACACAGCAGACGGGAAGTCTCTGACGTGAGAACGTCCTTTATGGATGCTCAGAGGGACGCTGGCCCGGGGCCTGGGCGCCGGGCGGGGTGCTGAGCCGGGGGTGAGCCCGGCCCTTCCTCCTCGGAAGGCGGGGGAATCTGGCCCCTGCGGGGTGTGGGAGACGCGGACTGGCACGGCTGATATTTCCGGTCCCGGAGAAGGCTCCCTCCGGTGCCCCAGCCGCCCCGCAGGCGGGCGCGCAGCTGGGCTCCCCGGTGAGGCCCGGCGGGGCCCTGCATGGGGCCACCCAGGACGATGGGCCTGGGCTGCCCGCCGCCCACCACAAGCCCCGGAGCGGGAGTCACAGCCCCTGGGCCCGGAGCACGGCCGCTCCGGGGCCGAGCGGCTGCCAGGCGAGCGGCTGCCAGGCGAGCGGCCCTCCCTCCGGCTGCAGAATCCGTCTGCACCGCCAGCTCCTCTGCAAACACGCCGCTCGCTCTCCTCCTCCGGCAAGATGTTCAGCAACCGCCTTCCCGGTCCCAGCCCAGCACACAGCGACCTCCCGCGAGGCCCCCCCGCCCCCCCCCCCCCCCCCGTGCTCCTTTCTCCGGGAACTCCTCAGGGAAGTAAGACCACAGCGACGGCCCCGGAGCAGGGAACACAGGTCCTGAGGCTGAGGCCCCTGTTCCTGAGCGGAGCAGAGGCCCTGAGGGGAAGGCTGTCCCTCCCAGCCGCCCCCCCCCAACACGCGCCCCCTGCTCTGGCTGCAGCCCCTGTGCAAGGGAAGCAGCTGGGGATGTGGGGGGGCGAGGGGTCAGCCAGGTCTGCCTAACATCGAGGGGGATGCAGCCGGTCCGTTCCCTCCCCGGCCTCAGTTTACCCTCTCCAAGCGAGGAGGGGAGGACAGGGCGAGGGGAGCAAGAGGCCCAGGCGCGGGGTTCAGGGGTGCCCACTCTCGGGGGGCAGGAGCGCAGGACGGGCACGTGGTCACAGCCCTCCCCGCGCGGGCCGGTGGGGCGGGGTCTGTCTGAGGCCTCTCCCCAGCCACGGCGCCTGCCCGGCGGGAGGACGCCTGGTCCCACCGGGAGGTCCGGCCGGGCGGGAGCACAGCGGGCCCTCCGTGGGAAAACGGCCGTTTACAGCGGTGTTTGCACTCTGTCCTTCTCAGACAGCCCCTTGTCCTGCGGGGCAGCTCCGTCGTTTTCAGACAGTCCCTTATTCTGTAAAGCAGCTGCCTTAGTCTGAGTGATAGAAGGAGACACAAATCCAGCTGTCCGGCCTCGCGAGCTAGCCGGCTCACGTAACAGGCTGACCCCGACCCCGTCCCCGTGTTCTCATGCCCACGCCGGCTCACTCTGTATCCGGATGACGAGCTGTCTGCGAACATAGCCTCACAGGCTCCGTCCGAGCCGCTGTCCCTCCCAGCTGTCCCTCCCAGCCGCCCCCCCCAACAGGGAAACGTCCTCCATGGCTTTGCTCAGAGACCGGGGACGCCTCCCTCCGGCCGAGGCGTTAATGGAGGCCCCAGTTAACCGGCTGGTTAAGGCGCCCGTGCCCAGCTCGCTGAGTTACAGTCCGACATCACCAGCCGGAGCCCTGCTGGCCGCCAAGAGCTCCGCTTCCAGGCCCCGGGGGAGGGGAGACAGGACGTACCCCTCACCCCGGCCAGACCCCGGCCCCACCGGGCCCGTGTGCCCCCGGCCCACCCTGTCCCTGCGCCCAGCGCTCCCAGCCTGTCCTGTCCTGGCACCCGGTGCTCCTGGCCTGTCCCATTCCTGCCCCCCAGTGCTCTGAGCCCTTCCTGTCCGGGCCCCGGCGCTCCCAGCCCTTCCACTCCCAGCCCGTCCTGTCCTGGCCTCAGTGCTCCCAGCCCGTCCTGTCCTGGCCCAGCTCTGTGCTCCCATCCCGTCCCATCCCTGCAGGACGCCTGGAGCGACCAGAAGGGACAGATCCACCTGGACGCCCAGCAGGACTACCAGCTGCTGGGGGCCCAGCGGACCCCGCAGGGCCTGAGCCTGCTGTTCCGGAGGCCCTTCAGCACCTGCGACCCCCGGGACTACCTCATCGAGGTGGGTGGTGCCCGGGTGTGCGTCCCGGCAGCACGCGAGCGCCAGCCCAGCCCCTACCCCGTCCGCCTGTGACCTCCAGCTGCAGCCACCAGAACTTCCTAAGCCCGCTGCACCCAGCACCAGCGGGGTGGTGGCTGCCTTCTGGGCCAGTGCCAGGCATGCCACCTGCCAGGCGGGGCGGGCGGAGCCCAGTGTCCCCGGGGCCGGGAGCCCTGCTCTGGGTCCGCAGACGATGGCCGCTCCGCCTGCAGGACGGCACGGTGCACCTGGTGTACGGGATCCTGGAGCGGCCCTTCCCCTCGCTGGAGGCCATCGACACCGCGGGCCTGCGCACCGGGCTGCAGCGGGTGCAGCTGCTCAAGCCCGACATCTCCGTCCCGGCCCTGCCCGCCGACGTGCAAACCATGGAGGTCCGCGCCCCGGACGTGCTCATCCCCGGCCAGGAGACCACCTACTGGTGCTACATGACCGAGCTGCCCGCCGGCTTCCCCCGACACCACATCGTCATGGTATGGGGGGGAGCTGCCGGGGCCTGCAGAGCCCTCCCTGTCCCTGTCCCTGTCCCTGTCCCTGCTCCGGGCCAAGGCCCTGGCTGAACCAGGAGTCCTGAACCCTGGGCACCTGACCTTCCTGAAGCCACAGTGTGGTCTGATCCATCGCTGCCCAGCTCCTGGGGCCTCCCTCACACCCCAGCTCCCAGCCTGGACTGAAACCCTGAGTTCAGCTTCTTCCCCTGGGCCTGGAATGGCCGTCCGTCTGTCCGGCCACGTCCCCCTTCATTGAAAAGCAGCTCACCTCAGAGCGCGATTGCTCTGAGCACCTCCCGGCGGGCGGCCGGGCGGCCAGGCGGGCAGGCAGTGTCCGCTGCCCCAGGCTCCGTGTCCCCTCCCCCCGCAGTACGAGCCCATCGTCACCGAGGGCAACGAGGCGCTGGTGCACCACATGGAGGTGTTCCAGTGCGCGGCCGGGTTCAAGAGCTTCCCGCACTTCAGCGGGCCCTGCGACTCCAAGATGAAGCCGGAGCGCCTCAACTACTGCCGCCACGTGCTGGCCGCCTGGGCCCTGGGCGCCAAGGTGCGGCCCCCACCCTGTCCCCGCGCCTCCGAGAGGCCCCACGACGGGCCCGCAGGGTACGGCCACCCCAAGCCCCGAGGCCCGTGCGCGGCCCCTCCCGTCCGGAGCCGAGGGGCTCTCCTCAGAAGCCCCAAGCTGGGTGCTCGGTGGTGCTGACCTCGGGCCCGCCAGCGGCAGAGGGTTTGTGCACTGGGGGAGTGGGGTCCCGGGTGACGGGCAGGGGCCGCAGCGCCCTGGGCTGTACCCGGGGGCTTTCCTCCACACCCAGAGGGCCCGCCAGGGGCTCGGGCAGGCTGGCCGAGGGGCACCAGCACCCCACTCCCCACCCCAATCCAGGCACATCCTGTGCACTGGCACCGAGCTGCAGTCAGGAGAGCTTTGTTCTAATCCGCTGCCCCGCCAACACCACCCCTGCAGCTCAGCCCCGCCCCTGCAGCTCAGCCCCGCCCCCTGCAGCTCAGCCCCGCCCCTGAAGCTCAGCCCCGCCCCTGAAGCTCAGCCCCGCCCCTGAAGCTCAGCCCCGCCCCTGAAGCTCAGCCCCGCCCCTGCAGCTCAGCCCCAACAGGCTGTGGGTTTGCCATGGGGACCCCCCTGGACCCGCCGTGCCAGGCCGCTGTCCCTGAGCCCAGCCCGCCCTCCGCTCCCACAGGCCTTCTACTACCCGGAGAGAGCAGGCCTTGCTTTCGGGGGCGAGGAGTCCTCCAGGTTCCTCCGCCTGGAAGTTCACTACCACAACCCGCGGAAGATAGAGGGTAGGAGCCGGAGCGGCTGGGCCGCGGGGAGCAGCACAAGGCCTCAGGACGAGGCCCTTGGCTTCGAGAGGGGGCAGCCTGCCCGGGGCGGGGACCGAGGCTCACCCTGCGCCCCCCCAGGCCGGCGGGACTCCTCGGGCATCCGCCTGTACTACACGGCCTCGCTGCGGCCCTTCGACGCGGGCATCATGGAGCTAGGCCTGGTGTACACGCCCGTGATGGCCATCCCCCCGCGGGAGGCCGCCTTCGTGCTCACGGGCTACTGCACGGACAACTGCACGCAGCTGGTGAGCGCCGCCGGCCGGGGCCGCCTTCCCTTCCCGGGACCGTCCCTCCCGGACAGCGCAGCCCCCGGCTCCCTGGCCGCGGGAGGGCGTGATGCTGGGAGAGGGCTGAGGCCGGGAGCGCTCTCGTCCTGGACACCTCGGCCTCGCTGCCCTGGGCTGCGGTCGGTGCGGGCAGCGGGCGGAGGGCAGCGGCCCACGTCCCCACGTAGCCGGGCCCTGACCAGCGCCCCCCGCAGGCCCTGCCACCCTCGGGGATCCACATCTTTGCGTCCCAGCTGCACACGCACCTGACCGGGCGCAAGGTGGTCACCGTGCTGGCCCGGGACGGCCGGGAGATGACCATTGTCAACAGGGACGACCACTACAGCCCCCACTTCCAGGTGGGGCCCCGCCCGCCCCGCCTGACCAGCAGCCACAGACACACCCGCCCCGGGCTCCTCCAGGCGCCTGGTGGGGGCGCAGTGGCCAGCCCTCACCTGGCACTTACTCTGAGGGAGGGCTGGGGGGACTCTGGCCTGTGGCCGATGCGGATCTGGGGGACCAGGAGGCCCAGTGGTAGCATCTGTCCTGTTTCAGCCCCTCCCAGCCAGGCCTGGCTCCCCAAGGGGCTGGGACGAACCTACACCCCAGCGGGTTGGGGGGTGGCTGGAGTGGGGTCTAGCTGAGGTCCCCCCTTCTTCCCCTCCAGGAGATCCGCATGCTGAAGAAGATGGTGACCGTCCATCCGGTGAGTGCCGGTCAGGGCCACAGAGGCCGGAGGGCCGGACACAGACAGCAACCGGGGGTGGGGGACAAAGGTCCCTCCGTGTCCACATGGCAGGGGCTGAGCGGTCCCACGGCGAGGGCCGGGAGTTCAGAGGGGCTGGGACAGACGGCACTCGGGGCCAGCCGACCCCAAAGTCCGAGCCGCAGAGGGAGCTGAGGGCGCGGAGGGCGCCCACGGGGCCTGTGGTCACGCCCAGGGAGCCCGGGCCACGGGGGCCTGGCCACGCTCACCGAGGGCTGGGACCTGGCCGGAAGGCCTGGAACCACCAGCCGCCTGCCCGGCCGGCAGACAGGGGCCATGGAAGCCGAGGCGCGGTCACGCCTGGACACTCAGCGTGTGACCCTCAGGGGTGGGGCCCATGACCACGCGTGCCGTGGCCCAGTCCCGTGTGAGCGTGGGCCCGAGCACCTGTCCCCCTGCGGGCAGGCTGACCGGCCTCTGTCGGCCCGGCTCGCAGGGGGACGTGCTGATCACTTCCTGTACGTACAACACGGAGGACAGGACGCTGGCCACCGTGGTAAGCCCCGGCCTCTCCCTGCCCCCCGGAGCCCCGCCCCTGGCCTTCCCGTCTGCCGTCCGCACCTTCAGGGGACGCCGCTCCTCATCCCATCCATGTGGCTGCAGCCCCGGGGCCGCGGGAGCGGACGAGGGAGGGGTGGACGGACAACGACCCAGAGGCCACTGCGGGGTGGGCATCCCGCGGCCGAGCCACGGCCCCTCCTCCCCCACAGGGCGGCTTCGGCATCCTGGAGGAGATGTGCGTCAACTATGTGCACTACTACCCGCGGACGGAGCTGGAGCTGTGCAAGAGCGCCGTGGACGCCGGCTTCCTGCAGAAGTACTTCCGCCTGGTCAACAGGTGCGGCGGCGGGAGTGCCGCCCGCCCAGGCCTCAGAGCGGGGCGTGCTGCCGGCCGGGGTCTCAGAGCGGGGTGTGCGGGCCCAGATCGAGGCGTGCGGGCGGCCGGGGCCTCGGAGCGGGGCGTGTGGGCCGGCCGGGGCCTCGGAGCGGGGCGTGCGGGCGGCCGGGGCCTCAGAGCGGGGCGTGTGGGCCGGCCGGGGCCTCAGAGCGGGGCGTGCGGGCGGCCGGGGCCTCGGAGCGGGGCGTGCGGGCGGCCGGGGTCTCGGAGCGGGGCGTGCGGGCGGCCGGGGCCTCGGAGCGGGGCGTGTGGGCGGCCGGGGCCTCGGAGCGGGGCGTGCGGGCGGCCGGGGCCTCGGAGCGGGGCGTGCGGGCGGCCGGGGCCTCGGAGCGGGGCGTGCGGGCGGCCGGGGCCTCGGAGCGGGGCGTGCGGGCGGCCGGGGTCTCGGAGCGGGGCGTGCGGGCGGCCGGGGTCTCGGAGCGGGAGTGCGGGCGGCCGGGGCCTCGGAGCGGGAGTGCGGGCGGCCGGGGCCTCGGAGCGGGAGTGCGGGCGGCCGTGGCCTCGGAGCGGGGCGTGCGGGCCGGCCGGGACCTCGGAGCGGGGCGTGTGGGCCTCGGAGCGGGGCGTGTGGGCCTCGGAGCGGGGCGTGCGGGCGGCCGGGCCTCGGAGCGGGGCGTGCGGGCGGCCGGGGCCTCGGAGCGGGGCGTGCGGGCGGCCGGGGCCTCAGAGCGGGGCGTGCGGGCCGGCCGGGCCTCAGAGCGGGGGAGGCGGCAGGCATCACCCATGGGTCCCCCCCTTCCTGCCGAGCCCGACGCGGCCTGGGCAGCTCCCCCAGCCCGGCCGTCCATGCAGGAGGAGGAAGCTGGCCGCCCTCCTGGCGTGGAGGCGGCCCCCCAGCCTGGGAGGCACCGAGCAGGAGCCCTGGGGGGTGGCGGCGGCCCGAGGGGGTGTCTCCGTGCCCACCAGCACCGACAGCGCCCCCTCCCGCCCGCCCAGCTTCCACAGCGGGGAGGTGCCCACCTCCCAGCAGGCCTCGGTGCCCCAGCAGTTCGCCGAGGTGCCCTGGACCTCCTTCAGCCGCGACACGCTGCGGGCGCTGTACCGCTTCGCCCCGCTCGCCATGCACTGCAACAAGTCCTCCGCCCTGCGCTTCCAGGTGGGCCCCCGCCCCCCCGCCAGGGCCGGCCCCCCCACCCGCCCCGGCCTCGCTCTGCCCTCCCCACCCGGGCCGCCTGGGCAGCCCTGCAGCTGCCTACCCCTCTGTGCCCGCACCAGCCCGGGGCCCCGGGGGGCTGGCAAGGAGCCCCCACCCAGACATTAGACAAACAGGCGGCCCAGCCAGCCCAGGAGGGAGGAGCCTGCAGCCGGAGGAGCCACAGGGGCAGGCTCACGTGGGCAGGGGCTCCCGCTCCTGGCGCCATCACATCACAGCACCAATCGCGGTGGTGTGAGCCAGGCACCAGCAACCTCCCCCGGAGCCTAAAAATAACCGAGGGGAGGGCAGGTGGGCAGGAGCAGTCTGAGACCGGGCTCGGGGTCCCCTCCTTCTCCCGAGTGCCCAGGCTGAGTCAGGTGGGACCGCTCTGCGATGCCCGAGGCACATTCCTGGGCGGCTGGGAGCCGGATGAATTGCTGGCCGGTCGGTGCCGGCTGCCAGGGAAAGGCGGGCGGTCACCAGGCGGTGGGTGGACGTGGACGGACTGGGGTGCGGGGCAGCCGTGGGGGAGGAACAGCGGCGCCTGCACCCGGGGCTGAGGTGGGGGTGAGTGGGGCAGAGGGGGTGCCAGGATCCCCTCGTGAGGCCTCCAAGCAGCCTGGGGTGGAGGGTGAGTTTGGAGTAAGGACAGAAACCGAGGGGCTGTGGCCGCCTCTCACCGCGGCCCTTCCTGCAGGGGGAATGGGACCAGCAGCCGCTGCCCCGGATCGTGTCCCAGCTGCCAGCGCCCGCCCCGCGGTGCCAGGCCGGCCCGTGTCTGAGCCCCGCCGGCCCCGCCGTGGTCCGCATCGGCGGGGGCCGAGGCTGAGCGCAGCCACCTCCTCGCTCCCCTCCGCTCCCCGGGGCGCATGCCCCCTGCGTACCCCGCTCCGTGAAGACCTCCCCGAAACAGCCCGTGTGCCCCGCCCGAGACCACTGCGCCCGCCCCTGCACGCCCAGAGGCTCCCGAGCACCCGGTGGGCCGCCAGGCCTGGGTGCCGGGACAAGGCCCTCCCGGCCCGGCCCGGAGCCCTGCCCGTGTCTCCGGGAGCCGCTGCCTCCAGGCAGGAGCCACGCCGGACTGCACTCACGCCCCCGGCCCACCGCGCCCGGAGGCTGCAAGAGCCGTTTCGCCACCGAGAGACTCGCCTGGGAACCGGCTCGGTCCGCCCCCTGAGGGAAGCCCTCCCCGCAGCGCCACCACGAGGGCCGGACGGCCAGCACCCCGGCGGGGGTCTGGGGCGGCCCCTGGGAAATGGGACTGGCAGCCCCGTAAGAATCAGACCTGCCCCAGAGCCCCCGGCCTCTTCGTGCGGGTGTGACGTGGGCGGACCATCTCACCTCCCGGCCCTCAGTTTCCTCATCTGTGAAATGGGGCCAACACCGTGCCGATCGATGCGACAATAAAGCTCACACAGGGCGGCTTGCTCCCACCGAGGCCTGGCTGCGCTCCTTCCCCTGTGCCCTGTGCCCTGTGCGCCATGGGGAGCGGGGACAGGCCGCCTCCCCGCCGCCTCCACCGCCCTCCCCGCCCCCACTGCCCTCCCTGCCTCCACCGCCCGCCCCTCGGAGCTCCCCCCCCCCCCAGGTTCGGCCACGCTCAGCTCGGTTTCTGCGGGAGGTAACAGATCATACTGTTCAGCCAGGTCAGCAAAACCCGCCCGGCCCAGGGAGGGAGGGTGATGGATGGGCCTCGAGCAGACGCCAGCTCAGCGGCCTGCCGGCCACTCATCACACAGGGCGGAGGGCCCGCACTGCGTCCTATCAATCACTTCCTGCGCCCATCACAGGGCGGTCGCGGGGAATGCCAGGACCGGCCGGCCGCCGCCCTCGCTCATCTTACAGCCGGACAGGCTGGGAGGGGCCGCCCTGTGGGGCAGGCTGGCCAGGGCCCTGCTCTCCTGGCCTAAGGCGACCCCTCACCCCATCACACCCATCTGCCCGAGCTCCCCTCACCCTGAGCCCTCACTGGCCACCACCATCCTGCCCCCGAGCCCCTGGGAGGCACGGTGCCACTCCAGCCTCGCCAAAGAGGGAACGGGGAGGAATGGCTCACCCTGGAGGGTTCACAGTGACTGGAAATCACACCCAGTTCTCGATCCTTCTGCCACCCAGTGGCACCCCCCCACCCCCGCTGGCTCTGGAGCTCTCGGCGAGGTGTTCCCTCCCCACAAAGGGTGCCTGCTGGGCGCTCCCACAGCGACCACTGCCCGCACCCTGCGCCCCTGCCCGGCTCCCACTTCGCCCACCTGCCTGTCCCGCCCGCATCGCTGACACAGCTGCCGCTGCCCCGGTCCTGTGATCTCTGAACAGCCCACACGTGCTGCTGCTGCCCGCAGACGGGGAAGCGCAGACTCAGAGACCTCATTAGGGACCAAGGTTCCCAGCGGGAGCCGGGAGCCCAGGAGCTGCCCCGGGCCCGACTGCAGAGTCTGGGCCCTTGGCCTCCGCTTCCTCCGTCAGGAAGCAGGCCCTGTGCCAGTCCCTGTGAAGACCAAGCAGACGCCTGGGGCCCTTCATTACCTGACACCACCCCTCCCTCTGGCCCACCTTCTGGACGGTTAGGGAGGTGGCCCCTTCCTCCCTCTGCTGTGTGACCCTGGCCAAGTGCTTTCCCTCTCTGGGCTGCGACTTCCTGCAGCAGGACGAGGCCGGGAGCTGGGCGGCAGGGAGCTGGGCGGCAGGGAGCTGGGCGGCGGCCTGGCTGGCCTCCGGCATGGGCCCCCCAGTGCTCTCCACACGGGTCCGGGCTGTGTCTCCTCAGAGAACAGCAAACGCCCAAATGGGCAGACCTGGGTTTCCGAGCTCAGCCCCAAGGAGGGAGTCAGACCAGCACCCGGTCTGCCCTCCTGGTCCTGAGCCTCCCCCGGGAAAGGCGGGCTGTGGGGGCACACGCGCGGCCTGCCCGGGGCCCGCAGCGGCCGGCGAGCAGGCCAGCTGTCGGGACGAGGCCTCCCCGGCCCTGTGCCAGAGCCAGGCCCGGGGGGGGGAGGGGGGGAGGCAGACCAGGCTCTGGTGGGCCTTCGCCGGGGCCCTGGGAAGCCAGAGGCCCCGTACCTCCGCCCGGAGGCTGGCAGCGGGCCAGGCAGCTGTCCGAAGGCCGTCAGGACCCAAATGTCCTCCCTGGCTACGGTTTGACTAGCCTGGCCCGTCCCAGCTCAGCCAAAGCCGTGTGTGAGCCCCTGAGAGTGGCCAGGCTGCACCCCAATCACCAGCGCCCCCCGGGATCCTCTGTGGCCCCGTCCTCTGTCCCCGAGCATGCCCCCCGCTCCCAGAGCCAGGGAGGGGTCCCCGGTGACTGGCCCCGGGTGCCCAGCGGGCAGTGACCTCCGGCGGGGAGCGATGCAGGGGCTGGACCTGGGCGTGGGGGTGGGGCAGCCGGACACCATTCCGGGCAGGAGGCAGGGCCACACGGCAGGTGCCAGAGAAGAGCCAGGCCCTGCCCCCGGGGCCCAGAGAGAGAGACAAGGACGCAGTAAGGACAGGCCACCCAAGCAGGCAGGTTCCATCAGGTTCTTACTGAAACATGGTCATCAAGGAGCTCCGGGGTAGACTGAGGCAGGAGATGGCCTGTCTGCACAGGCGAGGACTCCACACTGGGACATGGAGGCAGAAAGTCCTTTCCACAGTTCTGCACCCAGAGACCAGACCCAGAGGGCCAGGGCCGCCTGGCAGGTGCACGCTGCCTTCCCTACCGTGCCCGAGGCAGACATTACTAATCAATCCTGCTCTGTCCCTGGCTGGGGGTGGGGGGAGCCTTGAACACCTCCACGGCCCAAGTGGCAGGGGCCTCCCTGCCTGTGCGCCGGGCTTGTCCGCTCGCTACCCAGACCTTCTCGGAAGCCGGTGAGGGTCCTGGCCCAGGCGCCAGTGTGTCTGGGGGATGGAGGGACTGGAGTCCACCTTCTGGCCAGTGACAGAGATGGGCCCTCGGGTCCTCTTCCACCCGCTCCATCCACATCTGTCTGGTTAGCAGCCTGGCCTGACGGCAGGGAGGGCCCCGTGGGACCCAAGGGGGGGCAGGCCCTCTAGGAGCCGGGGGCGGGGGGGGCAGGAGGAGAGGGGGGACAGGTCCTGGCGGCCTGAGCAGCGGGACCCGGCCCGTGGCCCGTCAGTAGATGCCCTTCACCCTCTTGTTGTCGGGGTCGAAGGGGGACTTGAGGTGGGCCCGGGCGGGGTAGGCCACGCCCATCCGCTCCAGGCTGTAGTCCCCGCTCTTCACGAAGTCCGGGGAGACCTGGGGGCAGGGAGACGCCGTCACTCGGGACTCCCCTGGGTGCTGGCCACCCTGCTGCTCTCGGAGCAGGACCCCGGCCCCCCTGCGAGCAGGCCGACCTGCGCAGGCCCCCCGAACCGAGGGCCTGCCCCGCGGGGCGTCCTGTGCCCAAGCCCCTGGGCCCAGGGATAAGAGGCTGGGCCCCCGGGAGGTGTCCGGGTTCTGCCCGGGATGAGGAGCCCTGGCTCCCGGCACTCAGGACCGGACAGAAAAATGAAACCACACCAGGAGTGAGGCGGCTTCTCGGCCCGGCCCCGTGGCCCCGTGGCCCCCGGGCAGAGGGACAGGCCGGGGGGCCAAGGCCTTACACAGCGGCCACCACGCTGCCATGGGGTCCTCGCTAACCCCGACTCACCGGCCCGCCGCTGGGGTCCCGGATGTAGCCGTAGGCGACGGTCTTGTCGATGGCAAAGCCGAAGTCGGCCCTGCGCACATGGCCCACCACCTGGCCGTCCCTCCAGATGGCCTCCAGGCCGAACATGGGCACCTTCCTGGCAGACGCAGGAGAGAGACTGGCACCAGAGCCCAGCCCCGGGGACGCCTGGCGGCAGGGGGCCCCACCGCGAGGGGACGAGCCCGGAGGGAGCGGTGTCCGGCGTGAAGCGGCCCGGGCCCGGGCGTGGAGAGGAGGGGACGGAAGGAGGGTCTGTGAACAGGTCCCTGTCCCCGTGGTGCCACCTCCAGGGAGGGCACAGGCTCGGGAGGCCCCGCCTCACCCGGGGCAGAGCCCAGGGCGGGCGTTCCCGAGGCTGGGGGGCCAGCAGACGGGACCTCAGGGTGCCAGCCCTACACTCTCTGTGCCCAACCTTGCCAGGCTGCTCTGGGGGGCCGGCAGGCAGTCACGCAGACAGCCTGGCGGGCAGGAGGGCATCTCAGATGGTGGAAAGCCAGCTCTACCTGCCCCCCCAACCCCCTCCTCCACCCGTCACTCCTGACACCTCTGAAAGCCCCAGACTCCGGGAGCGGCTGTCACCCCCAAACCACCACGCAGAGGGCAGGTCCCTGAGGGGGGCTCCTCTCTGGGGCAGGAGGCCCGGTCCCTGCCACCCGTGGTCCCGTATGTACGTGGCCCTGCCCGCCCCGTCCCCTCACCCGGAGCCCCGGGAGGATGGAGCTGGGACACGGGGAGGGCCAGTGGTGACTGGGAAGCTGCCTCAGGCAGGGCCAGCCTCTGCGGCCCTCTGCCTGGGCTGCCCCCGGGGTGGCTCGGCAGGACTTCCCTCCTGTGAAGTCTGTGCCGGAGAGAGGTGAGCCGTCCTCCCCTCGCCCGGCCCGGCCCGGGAGCACTCACTCGTCCACGGTGAAGCAGACCAGGCGCCGGCGGAGGCCGGCCGCCCGCTGCCGCTGCAGGGCCTCGCGGCCCAGGAAGGCCACCTCGGACTTGAGCTTGCAGGTGAAGGCCAGGCCCGCCTCCAGAGGGCTGTCGTCCGGCCGCAGGTCCGCGTGCCAGTGCCGGTAGCCTGTGCGGGCACCCGGCTCAGCGCCCGGCTGGCCCCACCGCTTCCCGGCCTCGCCCTCGGGCTGGGATGGGAAAGGGTCCCGGACGAATCCAAACGGAGCCTGGTCCTGTCCCCGCACCCAGCTCCCCGCCGAGGGGGTCAGGAGGGGGTGTCACAGGGGAGGAGGGGACAGACCTGGGGGCAGCAGCTTCCCGGCCTCGGCCCCCGCCCCGCCCCGCCCCGGACCGGTGCGCACCTTTCTCGATGCTCAGCGAGTCGATGGCCCGGTAGCCGGCGTTGACGAGGCCGTGCTTGGCGCCCGCAGCCATCACGGCCCGGTACACGGGCACACAGGCCGGCCTGGGGATGTGCAGCTCCCAGCCCAGCTCGCCCACGAAGGACAGCCGCATGGCCCGCACCTGGGGGGCACAGGCTCACTGTGCGGGGCGCCCCACGCGGTCAGGGCCCAGCTACCGCTCACGGCGGGCGGTTCCGCTTCACCCACCGTTACCGGCTGCTGGGCCCCGGCCAGCCCGCCCCCGAGACGCGGGGTCTCCAAAGAGACTTCCCAGGAGCCCTTGGGAAACAGGTAAGGGAGCAGGGGGCGCGTTGAGAGAGTGGACGGCTCTCCTCTAAGTGACCGTGTGAGGGTCCTGCCGCCCCCAAACCAATGACCCCAACGCTACGGCTGGAATCGCCAAAAGGGACTCCCTCCAGTTCTGGGGCTGGAAGTGCATCGGGGGCTTGGTGTGTCCCTGAACCCCCGCCAGCTCTCCCGGGAGATGACTGAATCCCGGGGGCACTGGGTGCCCGCCTGAGCCCAGACCCGAGGCCCTGCAGGTGCCAGGCCGGGGGAGCCACGGCACTTCCGCGGACGCTTTGGACCTGAAACCAATGTTCCGTTTCGCCGTGTCTCGCGCTGAGCCTGCAGCCCGGCGCCGGCTGCTCTGCGGGGGCCCGTCCTCACAGAGGCACCACGTTTCCCGCCGGGACCTCCACGGCCTTGAGGCCAACGTGTGGGGAGGCAGGCCATCTGGTCAGCTGGCTGCCGAGGGACGGCGTCGCGGCCCTCCGTCCTGCTTCTAGGAATGCAGGCTCCTGGGAGATGGCCCGAGCCAAGCAGCTTGGAGAATTATTGCAAAACCCGGACACTGCGCGGCTGGGGACGCTGCTCAGCCAGGGCCCGCCCGCCCGCCCGCCCGCCGTGAGCGAGGGTCCCGTGGGCGCCGCAGGCCTGGCTGTGCGAGCAGGGCCGGGGCGGTGGTCCAGGCTCAGGGCTCGCCGTCCCCGCCCTGCAGCCCGGAGCCTCGCCGGCTACACAGGCCCCCAGCCCGCTCCCCATCTGCTTGGCCGGAGCCCAGCGATCTCCCATAAACACTTGGCCCGGCCCCGCACCCCGGCCCCAGCGCCTCCTCACACTGAGGGAAGGGGCGCCAGCACGGCCAGGGCCAGACAGGACCTTGTCTGGGAGAATGTGAGATCCGGGACCCGGGAGGAGGGACGTCTGCGCAGACTGTGGCCCGGACATTGTCTGGCCTTGGCCCTGCAGATGGGGAAACTGAGGCCTGAGAGGCAGCCCTAAGAAGGCCGGGGTGGGACCGGAAGCCAGGCCTGCCCAGCCCCCAGCTCTCTTGAACAAAGGGGTGACACTGCCCCTGCGCCCACGGGTTCTGTGCTGACCCAGCTTCTGCCCATGCACGTCTGTGACCCCAACACAGGCCTCTGCCATCTGTGTTCCTCCTGCCAAGACTAGCCTCTCCCTGCTCGGACTTGTCCCTGGGACCCTCCTCATTCTGACGTCAGCTCCTTGGGGAGCGTGCCCCCCCCGCCCAGGCCACCCTTCAGCGCAGGCTAGGCTGTGGCGGCAGGACCCTGCCCGACCCCCAACCTCAACCCGGGTGTGACCCCTGGAGAGGCCTTTGGGAGGAGACACGATGGCCACAGGCCGGCCTCAGGGTCCCAGCGAGGCTGTGGGAGGGACGGCCGAGGTCGATGGTCACAGGGCTCCGAGGAGGGGACACGGGCCCGCGTCCACGCCCAGGCACAGGGGCTCCCGGGGCTGAGCGAGGATGTGGCGCGCACAGCGGCTCAGAGAACATTCAGAAGAACAAGGAACCGACTGCCAGGTCGGGAGGGAGCGAGGCCGCACACAGATGTGCACGCAGGGTGGTCCCCTCCGTGTCAGCATCGGCCCAGCCAGGGAAGAAGGAAGCACCTGGGGCCTGTCTGTCTCTCCGCCTGTCCCCCTCCCTGTCCCCCTCTCTGTCCCCCTCCCCCTCCCTCTCCCTCTCCCCCCTCCCTGTCCCCCTCCCTGTCCCCCTCCCTGTACCCCTCCCCCTCCCTCTCCTCCCCCCTCGCTGAGTGAGGGCTTCCTTTCTCAGCCTCTTTGGCAGGGCCCAGGGTTTTCAACGAAGCGCTGGTGGCCAGGCGGGCAGGCAAGCTTTGCGCCAGCTTCTCCCGGAATCCACTTAACGACCCCGCCCGGTGCCAGCCCACCCCGCCTGGTGCCAGGCCACCCCGCCCGGTGCCAGCCCACCCCGCCCGGTGCCAGCCCACCCCGCCCGGTGCCAGCCCACCCCGCCCGGTGCCAGCCCACCCCGCCCGGTGCCAGGCCCACCCCGCCCGGTGCCAGCCCACCCCGCCCGGTGCCAGCCCACCCCGCCCGGTGCCAGGTGGACAGAGGGAGGCAGAGGGGCGCGCCAGGCCCGGCTCAGCCCCGGCGGCAGTGTGGTTAGAAGCACACGAGGGCACACGCAGTAAGTCCTTTTGGACAAAACCAGTAGCCAGCCCCGGGCCAGGGTGGGGAGGAGTCCGCACCCTAACCCCGCCCCCCCATGTCTGCCTGCTTATCACCGGGGAGAGGTTCACCCAAGGCCCAGCCTGTCCCGCCAGCCCTGCTCAGAGCCCGCCCCTCGGCGCAGCCAGACCTGGGAGGTGGCCAGGGCGGCCCCAGGGGCCGGAGGCAGCCGGACCGTCATCCAAGAGTCCGTTCCAGGTGCCTCATGGGAGCGCCTGGCTGAGAGGAAGTGTTCCCACCTGGTCCTCTCCCCAACTAACCGACCCTCCCCCCAAACCACAGAGGCTGAACGGATGCTGAGCCCCCCAGCTCAGACTCTGCACGGGCCCAGGAGCCACAACGGGGAAGGCGGGGGGCAGCCACCACCCGGCCGAGCTGTGCTGCTCCTGCGAGGTGCCCACCCTCTCTGGTCCCAGCAGGCCATTTGGCACCGAGGAGCCAGGAAGCGAGCTAGACACAAACACACACACACACACCCAGCTTCCTGCTCCCCAGCCCGGCCTCTGCGGGGACGGCGGGAGCGGAGCAGCCTGTGTCTGTGTCCCCCTGGCGGCCTCCCCGCCGATCATCGCCGGGCTGTTCATCCGCCAACAGGACCCAGACGCCCCTCCAGCCCCTCTGCGGCCAGCATGGCCCCGCCCAGCGCTCCCTCCACCGCCGCCCAGGCCCCCGGTGGACACGGAGATGAAAACAGGACCGGCTGTCTGTCCGCCCAACCCGTCCTCACGGTCACGTCCGCTTCTCAGACACAGATCTGTGCCTTCTCCCTTCTCACTGGCCGGGCACCGCAAACCTCTGAGCCCAACGGGAGGAACATCATCCTCCAGGTGACGGCCTGGCCCCGCCGGCTGCCACCTGCCGTGGTGACCCTGCCACAGCGAACTGTGCCTGCTGCCTGTGCCCTGCTGCCCGTGCCTGCCGCCCTGCCATGGTGACCCTGGGACAGCGGCCGCCCACAGCGAACTGCCTGCTGCCTGTGCCCTGCTGCCCATGCCTGCCGCCCTGCCATGGTGACCCTGGGACAGCGGCCGCCCACGGCGAACCTGTGCCTGCTGCCTGTGCCCTGCTGCCCATGCCTGCCGCCCTGCCATGGTGACCCTGGGACAGTGGCTGCCCACGGCAAACTGTGCCTGCCGCCCTGCCATGGTGACCCTGGGACAGAGGCCGCCCACGGCGAACTGTGCCTGCCGCCCTGCCATGGTGACCCTGGGACAGCGGCAGCCCACGGCGAACTGTGCCTGCCACCCTGCCATGGGAACCCTGTAGCCACAGAGGGCACGTGCTCACATCAGGACACGTTTTCCGTCACAGCTGGAGGAGTCCGGGCATCGAGCAGCCTGAGGGCAGGCGTGAGGGCAGGACGGGGTCCCTGTGCACAGCGGGGGCCGAGGCTCTGGGGGGTAATAGCCACGCCCACGGGCACGGCTCCCCGGCGCCAGCCCCGGTGTGCTCCTTCCAGCAGGTGGCTGCCGCCCACAACCCGGGGACAGACAGCGGGTACCTACCAGGTGCCCGGCGGCTCGCACCAGCTGGTGGGTGGAGAAGGGGAAGGCCTCGTTGCTCAGGTCGGCCTCCAGCACCTCCTGGAGGATGGCCCGGCTGTGAGCGAGAACAGTCGGTCCGTCAAACACGCGCTGGCACCCCTGGGTGCGTGCTCCGTGCCAGGAGAGACTGGAGACCAATCCCCGTGCTCGTGGGCAGGCGGACCGCAGGCCGGTGCCAATGAAGGCGCGGCAGGACGAACACGCACCAAACCAGCAGAGAACGCCCCCCTCGCGGCAACAGCGAAGGAGCCGGCGGCTGGATAGAGGGCAGACCCACAGACACGCCCTCAGGAGCTCCCTCTGCAGTGGGCGGACAGAGGCTGGGACGGTGACTAACCATCTAACGCCACCCCCATCCGACCACCTCCGCTGCCCTGCGCTCCCCCCACCGCTACAGGCCTGGGTCCCGCAGGCAACCGAATTCAAACACCTGACGGCTCAAGTGCACCAGCCGCTCAGATCCTATTCGATCGCTCTGTAAGGACCACGTTCACCTGCGTGTGCCTGGGAGGGCAGTCCGACCCCGCCAGGGAGGGAGGGGGCGGCCAGGCTGGGGCCAGCCGGGAGACGCTGGCACGGAGCTGGCAGCCACAGGCGCCTGCGGGCGGCTTCCACACGACGTGCCTCCCTCCTGCCCCCACCCCGGGCTCCTTCTCTGAAGCCCAGAGGGGCCTCTGGGATAGGGGTGTCGAACTCAATCAGAGAAGGGGCCAAAATCTAAAATCCAGCCTAAATCGCGGGCCGAATGGTTTACTGAACAGTCATAAACTGTCACTGTGATGGAAACGCAGCGGAGTGCAGTGATGACAGCGCGGTGCGGGCCACATTGCAAGGCCTGGCGGGACGGATTTGGCCCGCGGGCCTTGTGTTTGACACATGTGCTCTGGGAAGTGGGCAGCTGCCGGCGTGCCCCTCTCTGGGCGGGGCTCCTCGGGGGTTGGGGGGGGACCTGCAAACACTGCAGAGGGAACGGGGGTGGCGGGGGAGTGCCGCCTGCCGGCGTCTCCCAGGCTCCGGAGGCGCAGGAAGAGCCGGTGGCCGCTCTGTGCGGACACGCCCTCAGCCGGGCAGCAGGCAGGACCGGCCTGGCCCGCCGCTCCCAGAGCGTGTGTGGCTCTGAGACGCGGCTCCTGACCAGCGGTTCCGAGCCACGGGGGAAGTCTCTCTGCGTCTTAGGGCGCTGAAGACGGTCTATCCCCCGGGGACCGCTAGCTTCCCCCGATGGATGAGCGAACCAGGCTTCCCATTTGGACAGTGGGGCTTCTGCCCGCGGGTCCCAGCCGGAGGGCCAGGGCCGGGCCAGGGGCCCCTCCTCACCTGGCCGGGCCCTGGATGCTGATCATGCCCAGGTCCTCGGAGCTGTCGATGAGCTGGCAGCGGAACCGCTGGTCCTGCAGCACCGAGGTGATGTGCGACCAATTGTGCTGGGCCACGGCCCCGCCCACAGCCAGGTAGAAGCCGTCGCCTGGAAGGGAAGCGGCCTTGGGGCTGGGGGCTGGGGCTGGGGGCTGGCGCGGGACGGGTGAGAGAGGGGCCAGCGGAGCAGTGACCAGCCAGGGCCCTGGACCCTCACGCCAGGACCCAGCGTGGGGCTGTCCCTGGGGGAGGCCGGTGTGTGGGACCCTGAGCACCCCACGCACCAGGGAGCACATTCCTGGGAGAATCTGAGGCTCCCGACCCGGGAGGGTGTGAGCCTGACACCAGGTCACCACAGAGAACCCAGACCCACGTCAGCAGGCGGGCGGCCTGGGACCCGCTCCTGTCCTCTGGGAGCCGAGAGCCCACCAGCTTCCTGTCACCCCGCCCGGCCCAGACCAGGACTCACTGAGGCCGGCACTGGTGGCCCTGGCCTGTGGTCTCTCATCCCAGCATGGAGGGCGGGGACCGGACCGGAGGCCAGCCCAGCCCGGCAGGCAGCTGCGGGCGGGCGGGGAGGGGCGCTGGGCGCTGCAGCCCGGACTGGATTCCCGTGTGGGCTGGTACCCTGGCCCTTTGTGGTCAGAGGTGGCTCAGAACCACACCCACGCCACGGCTGCCGGGAGCGCTAGGGACCGACGGGCTCACCGACAGCACAGCCGCCCGCCGGGCACACCGGGCACAGGCGGCGTCAGCGGGCCGCCCTCCCGCCCAGGGCAGGGCCAGGGGCTGGGCCAGGCAGGGCCAGGGCAGGGCCAGGGCTGGGCCAGGGCAGGGCCAGGCAGGGCCAGGGCAGGGCCAGGGCTGGGCCAGGGCAGGGCCAGGGCAGGGCCAGGGCAGGGCCAGGGCTGGGCCAGGGCAGGGCCAGGGCAGGCCCAGGGCAGGGCCAGGGCTGGGCCAGGGCAGGGCCAGGCAGGGCCAGGGCAGGGCCAGGGCTGGGCCAGGGCAGCAGCCAGGCTGGGCCAGGGCAGGGCCAGGGCTGGGCCAGGGCAGGAGCTAGGGCAGGGGCAGGGGCAGGGCCAGGCAGGCCCAGGGCAGGGCCAGGGCTGGGCCAGGGCAGGGCCAGGGCTGGGCCAGGGCTGGGCCTCACTCACCTTCGAAGGCGGGGGCGAGGGCCGCGGCCTTGGGGCCGGGGGCCAGGCGGCTGACGGTCAGGTCGCTCTCGGTGCCGCCCCGCGCGTTCAGCATGCAGGTGTACACCGTGGCGCCTGCGGGAGGAGGGCCGTACACGGCAGGCTGTGATGGGGTTCTGATACACCATGGTGGTGTCCTCACAGGGAGAGGAAATGCAGGGAGGAGGCCCTGGGCCTCAGAGGCAGAGACGGAGACAGGAAGGAAGGACAGAGCAGCCAGAAGCCGGGACGGAGCAGGAGGGTCCCCCGGGGAGCGTGGCCTGGTGACGCCTGCTGTGGCCTCTCGCCTCCAAACCGAAAGGCGGTCACAGCCGCCCCGGGACAGACACCCAGGACAGGGAGGGTGGGGTGCTGGCGGGTAGGGTGGTGTGTGGGTGACAGGGTCACAGCCGCCCCGGGACAGACACCGAGGACAGGGAGGGTGGGGTGCTGGTGGGTAGGGTGGTGTGTGGGTGACAGGGTCATAGCTGCCCCAGGACAGACACCGAGGACGGGGGAGGGTGGGGTGCTGGTGGGTAGGGTGGTGTGTGGGTGACAGGGTCACAGCCACCCCAGGACAGACACCGAGGACGGGGTTAGGGTGGGGTGCTGGCGGGTAGGGTGGTGTGTGGGTGATAAAACAGGAGAGGACTGTCCCAGTGTCACACAACACATTTTGAGAAATTCCCTGTTCTCTCTCTGAAGTTCACACCTAACTGGGCATGGTGTTTATTTGATCTGGAACCTAATCTGGTGCAAGCATCCCTGGGGGGGAGGGGGCAGTGCCAAGGGACATTGAACGGGGTGGGGGGGACCTCGAATCCTTTCTGGGACAGAGTACAGGGGCAGCGAGGGTGTAGAGAGGGGCAGCAAGGGTGGAGGGAGGGGGCAGGGAGGCCGACAGCCTGGGCCGGGGATTGGTGGTGAGGACACGGGATCCGGACAGGGCGCGGGCAGGCCGAGGGCAGAGCATGTGCTGGAGGAGCCCCGAGGTGCCACCTTGTCCCTGTGCCCAGGGCTGTGCCGGGAGCTCTGCCTGGAGCGGAAGCCTGAAGGACAGGACCCGCCTGGCCGCGTACCTGGGGGCCGGCTGACGTCGGCGGAGAACAGCCAGTCGGCGGCCTTCCTGGCGTCGGCGCCCACCAGGTAGAACTTGCCAAAGTAGGACATGTCGAACACGGCCGCCGCGCCCCTGCAGGCCAGGCACTCCTGCCGGATCTGGGGGGCGGGCGGGGCCCAGGCTCTGAGACGTGCCCCCGCCCAGGAGCATGGGCACTGGGCTCTCCCCTGCCACCCACTGAGCCCCCTCCGTGCCCTCCAGCTCAGAAACACCGTGACACACAGACACACCCAGGCTAGACCATGAGCCATAAAAGCACGCTAATACTCTGAAGAGGATTAAAGTCACACACAGGTGTCCTTCGGCCACCGGGGAATGGCACTGACATCCTGCAGGACACAGGAACTCTCAGGTCAGTGGAAACAGCCAGCAGACCAGGGAACACCGCAAGGGGACTCAGCAGACACCCATCGGCGTGACAGTGAACGCGTGACGTGTGAAAGAACTTTAAAATGCTTACGAGTGAATGTAACCAAAGTACAAATTGGAATTAAAACTACAAACTATGTGACTGAGGCTCCTCCCCGGCCGGCTCCTGCAGGAGGCAGCCCATCGATGTCTCTCTCTCTCACGTCGGTGTTTCTGGCTCTCCCTGTCTCTCCCACTCGCTCTCAAAGCCAGTGGGAAAATGCCCTCGGCTGAGGAGACCACAAAGTATGAGGCGTTTCAGGGCGACCACAGGGGTTCACCCCCCCAGGCGCTCCTGAGTGAGACCCGTGTCCGCAGGTGCCAGCCAGGGCGCTGGCTGTGGGGGCGACCCTCAGCACTGCAGCCCCTGGGGGTGGGGCCTGCCTGGGCCCTGGGCTCCGGGCTCGGGCCTCGGCTCCTCTCCTGCCCAGAGGCACTTATGGGGGGCCCCCCCCGCCTCTCCCAAGGGCCACATGTGCGGACAGTGAGGTTCTGGCCACGTGGTGAAGGAGCCGGCCTGGTGCGTCCTCACTGGCTGCCCCGAGAACGCCCCCGTGTGGCCCAGGCCCGTCACCTGCACCCAGAGGGGGAGCGGAGAGGGGCAGGGAGCTGTCTGGCCGGCCTCCCCTGCCCACGTGTGGCGTGAGGGGCAACAAGTGGCCCGTGGCGTGAGGGGCAACAAGTGGCCCGAACCACGGACCCTCCCCAGCGGCTCTGCTCTGTCCCGCCAGAGGCCTGCTCTGCAGAGGGCGCCCTGCGCTGGGGCCGGAGGAGGGTCATCGCTGACAAAGCTGACCGGGCTGGCTCCGGGCTCTGGACCAGGCTCGGGGGCCGAGGCCACACAGCCGGACCCAGGCCGGCCGCCCGGAGCGGTCTCGGTGCAGACGAGG